ATTCAAAACATTCAAGAAACTGTGATGAAAAACTAAGCTAAACATGATGGCTAAACACACATATATATATATATATATATATATATATACACACACAATTAGATTGTGAGGATAAACTAGGTAAGAACATACAGCCACTGGTAACGTTATTTATTTTTTTGTGAAATGTCTATTAGCTCTCCATTTCTCTTTTTTTCCTCTATGGCAGTGCACACTGGTTCCTGTGTGCACAACTGTCGGCAACGTTCTGCAAAGTCGGACAGCTTCTGCCCTTTTTGAAACGTAGCACGCAATTTGTTGTACGCTGTGATGTCACAGGCCTCCAATTCAGCAATGACACACGTATCCACAATCGTTTTCCTGTCCACGCCGCACTTGTGGTAAGCCTCTGTTTTGGTTGATCCTTTTGACAGGTACCTCAGGACCTTTTTGTATCTTCCTATTACTTGCTCTGGTAAAAATACTGACAAAGAACAACATTTTGCTAGATTATAGTACATTATTAATAAAAACAATGTCTTCTTATAACACTAAAATCCATTAATCTTAACAAGTTTCTCCAAATATCATTATTTTGTAGTTATTCTGAAAGCATATAGGCAGACTCTACATGGGAGGAGCATATCATACAGTCCAGAAGATACTATATCAATGAATACATTTATAAATATAGATGTAATATAAATTTGTTTGCCAGTAAAGGCAGACTTCCTGAATTCTGAAGTGAGTGAGTGTAAAGCCATAGCCACCCATGCATATCTGAGGGCTTCTGAGTATAATAAATAATATGTAACAGCATAATATAGTTCTATACAAATTATTAAAATATACTGTTAATTTAGAATTGCGTTATACCATAAAATGTTTTGTACTGAGCCAATGTCCTATTGGTCACATATCTTCATGTTTGCAGGACAAGAGTTTACCAAACTTAAATTTTTGGAATGGAAGTGAATTAAGCACAAAAGAATTCATAAAAAGAATGCTGAAAGGCCACTGACCATACCTCTTTTGCTTTTTGCACTTTTCTGTGTTTTCTTTCCCTTTTTGTTCTTCTTGGTCTTGTGGGGTGACGAAGAAGAGTAAGACTCGGAGGAAGATGAGGACTGGGAGGAACTAGAAGGTGAGTCGTCTCTCTTGGTCTTCTTGCTTCCCTTTCTATACTTTTTCTTTTCTGATCGCACATGGTCCTCATCAGAAGAATCTGTGATGACAATAGACCTCTTAAGACTCTTTTGCTTCTTTAGTTGACAGGGCTGTAAAAATAAAGAATCATTTATAGTCATTTTTGTTAGTGTTGTGCAGTCAAACTATTCCTTAAGTCTCACACAGCCAGCTCAGTTAATGGAGTAGTGTACGGCATATGAGTTCATTTAGCTATGTTAAATAAAGGAGACATCTAAAATGTGCATTGCTGGGGAGGATAGGGAACAGTCTGAAAACCCATGGTGTAGAGCTTTTTACAATGGGCATTATTTCAAACCAGCTTTCCACAGATGGAAATAAAAAAAAGTTCGGAACAGAATTAAGAGTTTATACAGAGTACAAAGTTTTTTTCTTTTACACTAACATATTGTTTTTGTTTGTTTTTTTCCTAGCAAATGTTTGCCAAAAAAGTATACTAATAGGAAATTTACAAAGAGCTGCAGAGCTGGATCCATATTCGAAAACAGCAGGACCGCCTTTCAAAGCTGGATGACTTTTATTTACCGGTATGAATTACAGAAATGCACCTCACTGATTTTATAGAGAGCAGGTAATAATATATTTAAACAGTAACTACAGGAAATGTAAACGGACATTAATTTATGCATTGTAAATCAGTCAGGTAAGTTAACCGAGTGAGTTCAGTTCTTTGTCATAATGCTGTATTGTAATACTGATTTTTAATCAAAACAATTATTTATGAAATATTCACGCAATATAATACTTAATTCTCAATATATTGACTTAATTTTTATATTGCTACACCTTAATTGTTGTAACATTACCTTTTTCACACAAATTTGACTTTATCCACAAAATAGCAGATTTTATTCATCATATAGCTTCAACTTCATTCTCATAATCATAGACTTGTTTAATTTGAAGTGATTAAAACCCCTGTCATATTGGCAGCTTGAATAATTTACCTTAGAGCAAATATGTTTCTGCAAAGTTAAAACAAACATCATTGTGATAATGCAATGACCAATGTGAATCTTTTTACATACAATCTAGTTTCACTCTTGTTAACAGATATTGTCAAGGACTGAGATTACGACAGGTGGATATGATCCAGGATGGCATAGCCGGAAGCTCAGCAACACTGAGCAAAATGACAAAGAAGCTAAGAATGGTCTGTAAAAGAGCTTTGAGAAAGTACAAGAGAAAGACAGGACAGTTTGTGGGGGGCAGGACAGAGTTTGTCATTATAGATGAAAGCAACTTCCGTCACAAAAGAAAGGTATTTATTTTTAAGGCTATAATATCATTGCTGTAGTGCAACTTTACTTTCAAATCAAATGTACAAAAATAAACTGTTGAAAGGGTAAAACAAAGCAAGGAGCAGTGCAGTGACCAATGTGAATCGTTTTACATACAATCTATTTTCACTCTTGTTAACAGATATTGTCAAGGACTGAGATTACGACAGGTGGATATGATCCAGGATGGCATAGCCGGAAGCTCAGCAACACTGAGCAAAATGACAAAGAAGCTAAGAATGGTCTGTAAAAGAGCTTTGAGAAAGTACAAGAGAAAGACAGGACAGTTTGTGGGGGGCAGGACAGAGTTTGTCATTATAGATGAAAGCAACTTCCGTCACAAAAGAAAGGTATTTATTTTTAAGGCTATAATATCATGGCTGTAGTGCAACTTTACTTTCAAATCAAATGTACAAAAATAAACTGTCTGTTGAAAGGGTAAAACAAAGCAAGGAGCAGCATGATTGGAGCAACATATTTTAGCACAAACATTTGGCCCAAAAAATACAGAAACTCTTAAAGAAGACATCAGATGAAATTTTCACTTTCATAGACATTTTTTTTTTTTGCACCTAGTTAGGTTTCTGACGTATCTGCCACCTCGGAAAAGCTGAAAAGAAAACACGCAGCCAGTGGGCTTTCTGAGAATGAAACTGTGTCATCCAGTGAGCTTCAATCTGCAGCCAGTTTCTACATAGATAGCTAGCTATTTGAAGCCATATACAGAGTCCAAGGCAATTCACATGTCTTGTGTCGGCATGCCCCAAGAAAGAGAGGGGTGGGGGTGAGCAGTACCTCATTATCATTTAAAGAGAAATGCACCGAAACGGGTCACTGTGAACAGAGCTGTTTTTGACAAGGTAAAAAGGGAGTTTTTTTACATGAGCATTGAGGAAGTTTAACTAAAGTATCTTACAGACATTTCATGAAGACCCTAAAGAATAGGCCTGTCATGATAACAACTTTTTGCAGACCTGTACGCATTTTGCATCCAGTATGAATGAAACAGACATTACATGTGTTCATAGCACTAAATAATGGCCAATCTATAAAAATAATACTTCTCTCAAAATAAATTGAAGGTAGACATGTGATTGTCCATGTTTTTCTACAGTGTACAACAATGTACTGGAGTTTTACTTAAAGTATACTGGAGTTTGTTTTTTTTAAATAGCATTTAAAATGGCTAAAAAGAACTCTGTTGTGCCAAACCATCAGAACCAATCTGAAAACTGTGTTTAAAAAACTGAGGTATTTATTGAACCTTGGGCTAACTGTATTAGGGTTAATTGTTGCATTCCTACGGTTTACTCTAAAATACTGTATAACAGGAATATCACAAACTGAGTGCAGACCAGTCAGATGTCCGTATGCACAAAGGCACAGATCCCTAAACAAGACCATATCTGCAGATTAAACTTTTTTTGTTGAAGCATTTTTTAAATTTGAACTAGCGCTTCATGACTACACCACGTTATGTACGAGAAGCTGCAAAAGACACAGGCGCAAGTGGAATGTAAAAAACGTGACATTAATTTAAGTAAATATAATGGGCGATGTATTGCGTCACCAAAAATTATTGAGGTCATGTACATATATTGCGTGATATATAGATTATTGCGACAGGCCTACTAAAGAATCATTGAAACTTGTGGAAAATGTGTATACGATGTCCCCTTTAAGTCCTTCATCAGAAAGTTTTGCTTAAGTAAAAGTTATGCTAGCTATTCTAGACAGTTATTTAATTGAATGATTAAAAGACCAAACAAAGATATAAAAAGTATGGACACTGTAATGTTATATTGAATATTTAGTTTGTCATCAGAGACAGAAGTGTAATAGTGTTAATACAACACTTCTCACAGGGAAAGAAAAAGCAAGACACTTATTGAATGTTTTTTTTTTTTTAGTATAGACGAGGAAGAGCTGGCGAAACATGGAGAAGAAAAAAGTGGGTCTTTGGTATCTTGGCCATTAAGGGTGATAGAAGACGACCAATTTTGCGGCTTGTTGAAAAGCACTCAAGAAATCATCTGATTCCAGTGATAACAAGACGTTCGCCAGGGATCAACCATCTTGAGTGACGAATGGAAACCCTACAAGAGAGCTCTGACCACACTTGGATACACTCACTACACTGTGAATCATAGCAGGTGGTTTGTTGACCCAGTTCATTGAGGCCACACACAGAATATAGAACGAGCATGGTCAACATATAAAAACCAGGTCTGGAGGTTGAGAGGCAATATTGTGCAATTATGATTTTGACATTAGCCATCAAGGAGCTTCAAGTAATGCAGGAATAGGCTATATGACCCCGGTATCACCCCATATGGTATGGTATCACCCCCATTTTTTGCTTGAGTAAAAGTTATGCTAGCTATTCTAGACAGTTATTTAATTGAATGATTAAAAGACCAAACAAAGATATAAAAAGTATGGACACTGTAATGTTATATTGAATATTTAGTTTGTCATCAGAGACAGAAGTGTAATAGTGTTAATACAACACTTCTCACAGGGAAAGAAAAAGCAAGACACTTATTGAATGTTTTTTTTTTTTTAGTATAGACGAGGAAGAGCTGGCGAAACATGGAGAAGAAAAAAGTGGGTCTTTGGTATCTTGGCCATTAAGGGTGATAGAAGACGACCAATTTTGCGGCTTGTTGAAAAGCACTCAAGAAATCATCTGATTCCAGTGATAACAAGACGTTCGCCAGGGATCAACCATCTTGAGTGACGAATGGAAACCCTACAAGAGAGCTCTGACCACACTTGGATACACTCACTACACTGTGAATCATAGCAGGTGGTTTGTTGACCCAGTTCATGGAGGCCACACCCAGAATATAGAACGAGCATGGTCAACATATAAAAACCAGGTCTGGAGGTTGAGAGGCAATAGGACAGAAAAGCTGTTGAAGGAACACTTGACATGCATTGAGTGGACATACTGGCTTGGACACAGCCACCGTGATGGTCCTCTAGGACGTTTGTTAAAAGATATTAGAAGACAATACAGAGTTTAATATTTTGGAGTATGCTCAAAAATAAATTGCCAATACCTGTGTGAGTGAGCATTTGTGTGCTTGTGCATGTGCTTGTCTTTGTAGGAGATATTACTGTGGCTCAGTTTCTTATCGGTCATCACTGTGCCAAATTTAATTTTAGAATGTTAATTCGGACATATTTTGCACTGTGCTTTACACCCAGTTGTTCATTTTTTCCATTATGCAGTGTTTTCTTTTATGATTTTATGTAAAAGTTTCAGTGCTTATAATTAAAGAAAATGTTAGACCCAGTCACTGCAGTTCTTTTATGTTGTATATAGTTCTTGCAGGGTGACATGTTGGTGAGGGGTTAACATGTTTTTCACTTTAAAATAATGGTCCAGATCATATATCTGTATGGATAGGCTATATATAATATATATATATATATATATATATATATATACATTCATGCTTTGTTATTGTGTGGGGGGGGGGCTAATTGTTCACTTCATAGACGTTACTGTTGTGATAAGTAATTAATTGGTTATTCTTTATTAATTGGTCATAGTTCGCAAGTAGTTCTCAATGACGATATTTTTCTTTAGTAATTATCAAATACCTAATAAGGAACTACCTTTGTCCTAAATTAGCTATTACTTACTGCTTAGTTAATCTCGCTTCTCTATTAGTTAATAGTATTAAGTTAGGTGTTAATGTAGTACTACCTATTACTTCCTGCATAGTTACTTGTTAACAACGGACCATTATTCTCACGACCTGAGAACTGTCAGTTCCGTGAGGGTCAGATGAGGGCAGAACTCATAAAGTGTTTCAGAACAGGGAAGATAGAATTCAAAATAAAGGCAAAATTGCGTAAACCAAAGTTGAGACAAACCACTGTCAGTGTCCATTATTGTGTGCCATCCTGCACACACAAAGAAATCATGGTGCAGTGTTCATTGTGCCATGGTTGGTATCATCCCACCTGTTTAAACATACCCTCAAATGTCATTTTTGGTGAGGATGACTGGCACTGCCAAAATTCTAATGAAGCATAACTACTCAACCACCAATGACTATGTGGACTGAAAGATCTTCAATGATGAACATAAAATGTAAAAAAATTTCAGAAAATGTACATAGACGAGCAGCATTGTTATGTTTCTGGGTTTCTGTGACCTTTGTTTTGTCTTGTTCCTATTTCCTCTACTCCAACTGGATTTCCTCCACGTGTTTTTGTTTAATCCCTTCTGTTTACTCTCTTCATTGACAAGTTTTGTTCCTTGTGTACTGTAATTTAGATTTTTTTTTCTAAATCCTCTACATGCTTTGTCTTCTATTTTTACATGAACGTTTATTTAAATCTAACAATGGATATACAAAGTACAGATAGAACCGCATGTTTTATCACTGTACACGTTTTGTAGTACCCCAAAATCCAAAAGTAAAATGTATGACTTCTTATCCTTATTAGAAAAATAATGGGCTACTTAAAGGCATGTAAGGTTCAATAATGTGACATATCTCCAAAATGCTGCAGTAAAATGGTTTGATATGAAGTATGCATACTGTACGGGACATCCCCTATAGAAACTGACCAATACTTTTTTCTACTTATTTGAAATGAGGTCTTTATAGGTGTATAAAGTAAAATAATGACGCGTATCTCCAAAACGGTGCAGTAAAATGGTTTTAAATTAGGTGTGCATACTGTATGGGACGTCCCCTATGAGAACTTGCCATAACTTTTTTCTACTTATTTGAAATGAGGTCTTCATAGGTGTAGGAAGTAGAATAATGACATTTATCTCCAAAATGCAAATGGTTTGATATGACATATGCAAATTTTATGGGACGTCCCATATAAAACGGACTATTAGTATTTTCTACTTATTAAAAATTAGGTTTGTATATGTGTATAAAGTAGAATGATGACATATATCTCCAAAATGCTGCAGTACAAATGTTTCATATGAGGTATGCATAGAGTACCATTAGTTTTTTCTACTTATTAGAAATGAGGTTTTTACAGGCCTCTGAAGTCCAATAATGTGATGTATCTAAAACATGCTGAAAATGTACATCCCGTATAAGAACTGACCATTGTTTTTTTTCTACTTATTAGAAATTGGGTCTTTATAGCCCTCTAAAGCGCCTTATGGTCCCATATCTCAAAAACGCTGCAGTAAAATGGTTTCGTATGAGGTGTGCATATAATATGGGATGTCCCGTATAAGAACTGAACATTAATTTATCCTGCTTATTAGAAATGGGGTCTTTATAGCCCTCTAAAGCGCCATATGGTCCCATATCTCAAAAATGCTGCAGTAAAATGGTTTCAAATGAGGTCTGCATATAGTATGGGATGACCCATATAAGAGCTGACTATTGGGTTTTACTTATTAGAAATGGGGTCTTTATAGGCCTCTCAAGTGTAATAATGTGTCATATCTATGCCTATGCCTATGTCATGTCATAGGCCATCAAGCACATCTTACCCTCACATGATCCTCCTCCTGCCACCCATCCATCGAGGGCCGGCCAACAGCCTGCTCGTCGCTGTGGTCGCCCCCCCTGCGTCCTCCACTGCAGCTCTGTCCCGCGCTGAGACGACATCAAAACCGGCACGTCGAGCTCTACGCAGGAAGCTCCCCCCATGTCACAGGCTGGCGCTAAGTCCTCAAAGAAGACCTGCCTGACACGGGCAACCCAGAGACGAGGGGAACTGCTCTTTCTCAGGAGATGGTGGGAACAGCGCCACTCCTTCCCCCGGAGGAGGGCCGGGCGGAGAATCTTCTGGTTTGTTCTGTTCTGGTACCCATATTTTCACAAAAAGCGCAGTTTCCTTTACCTCCGGGTTATATGGCTCGTGGGTTGACAGCAGGGGTGTTTCTAATGGTTTTGGCTTTTCATCACTTTAATGTTTTTTCAGTGTTGTTTTGATGTATTTTAAAGAGTTGGCAGTCAAAATTAAAACTGCTGGATGATAGATATTCTTCATTCTTTCTGACAAACAACAAAAAAATAATGTGAATTACAGTATGTACAATGTTTTTTACATTTTTTAATTGCAGTGTACAGCGTTTATTATAAGATAGTAGAATCCGCAGCTCAGTGCTCACTACTCACTACTCATGAGTACTTTTAAATAAGCTACTCTTTTATTCATACTCAAGTAGTTTTTTGGACAAGCACTTTTTACACTACTCACACTTCATTTTTTGGAAAGTAATGGTACTTTTACTTGAGTATATTTTTTCAGTACTCTTTCCACCACTGGTCATCAGCCAAGATGGCCACCATGCCAGAGCCTAGTCACGTCATGGCTGTCACTCCAGAGCCTTGACCCAACATGGTTGCCACTCCTGAGTCTCGACCCATCATGGCTGCCACGCCAGAGCCAACGGCCAAGATGGCCACCATGCCAGAGGCTTGTCATGCCATGGCCACCATACCAGAGCCCCATCATGCCATGGCCACAATGCAAATTTCCCGTAAGGATTTTTTTTGGGGGGCCTGTAGGACACAAGCTCATGCATATGCAGAGCTTGGGCCAAGACAGATAAGACTAATGGCCAGCGTAATGGATCCATCAATTATCACCCCGGTGGCCTCAACGCTCTCACACCCCATGGCCTCAGTGCTGTCAGCTGTACTGCCCATGATGGCGGTTGCCATATTGTGTGTTTGGGCCACACACTGCACTCCAGTCCGTGAATCTGTTCCAGAGCCTGCTCCAGTCCATGAGTCCACTTCAAAGCTCTCTCCAGTCCATTAATCCGCTCCAGAACGTGCTCAAGCCCCAGAGCTCAGTCCAGTGTTGGCGCCAGCCTGTGAGTTTCCTGCTTGTCCTGTTTTGACCACAGTGGTCACACATGAATCTTCTGCCAGTCATGTCATGGCCAAAAAGGCTGTCTCTGAGCTCTCAGCCTGTCCGGTTACGGCCAAGGAGGCCGTCCCTGAACTCACTGCCTGTCCAGTCAGAGATGAGGAGGTCGTCCCTGAACCCCTTGCCTGTAATGCTACAGCCATTGAGGCTGTTCAAAGATATTCTACCTGTCATGTTGCGGCTATGGAGGCCCGCTCACAAACTCTCTGCCTGTTCTGTCATGGCCAGGTGGTTCGTCCATGTCTCTGCTCCGCCATGGCCTCCTGACCTGTGGTGGTCACCAGCTCCATTCTGGTCGCAGCCTCCACCCTGGTGGTCATCTGGTCCACCGTGGGGATCCTCGGTCCCACCAGCTCCGCCCTGGTGGTCTTTAACTCCTTCCTGGCTTCCTGCTCTGCCGGCTCCACCCTGGTCTCTGGCTATGCCCTAGTTCCCTAATCCTTCATGGTTGCTCCACAGACCAGGTCCTCCACTGCTCCATGGTCCAGGCCCGCCACTATTCCATGGACCAGGTCCTCCACTGCTCCATGGTCCAGGCCCGCCACTACTCCATGCCATGATCCAGGTCCAGTTTCCCTGCACGGGCCAGGCCCTCCATCCTGCCTCCTGGACCACCTCTAGTGCTCCACCCTCCCGTACTCTTTGTTGGTTTTGGGTGGTTTGTTAGTACGTCGGGAGCCACACTTCGAAGGGAGGATATGTCACGGTTGGTTTTGGCTTATGTTCATGTTTTAATGTCTTTTATTTTGTCTTTTTCATAGTTATGGTTCCTGTCATGTTTTGCTTGCCCTTATGTAATCCTGCTAATGGTTCTCTTGTTCATATGTCTTGTTCTTATTGATGTTGATTTGGAAATTTGGTTCTTTGTTGTTGTATGTGTCAATCACAAAACTTATACAACACATACCCCTCCACATGTCACTTTTCGACATAACCTACGCTCACTCTCACCCTCCCGGCTATCTGCTATGGTTTCATCTTCGCTTATTCCCCCTGAACAGTTATCTCTTGCTGTTAACAGGGCTACTGATACTTTCTGCTCCACTCTTATGTCTTGTTTAGACAGTGTCTGCCCCTTGTCTTCCAGGCCAGCTCGTACCACCTCTTCTGCCCCTTGGCTATCTGATGTTCTCCGTGAGCATCGTTCTAAGCTCAGAGCTGCAGAAAGAGTATGGCAAAATCACAAAATCCTACTGACCTTAATCTATATCGATCACTCCTCTCTTCCATTTTCTGCTAATGTCTCCACTGCTAAAAGGACACACTATCACAACAAGATTAACAATTCGCCTAACTTTAAAACATTTTCCTCCCTCCTTTGTCCTCCTTCTCCCCCTCCTTCATCAACTCTAACAGCTGACGACTTTGCCACATTCTTCATTAATAAAATTACAAACCTCAGTGCACAATTTGCCACACCACAAACTGTCAAACACATCTTACAAGCAAACGTACACACGTTTTCATCCTTCTCTCCACTCTCTGAGGCAGAAGTCTCTAAACTCATCCTTTCCAATCATCCTACTACTTGTCCGCTTGATCCTATTCCATCTCATCTCCTTCAAGCCATTTCTCCTGCCGTTGTACCTGCACTCACTCACATCCTTAACACATCCCTTCACACTGGTGTTTTTCCCTCAACATTTAAACAGGCTCGTATAACCCCACTTCTTAAGAAACCCACCCAACTACAGACCGGTTTCCCTTCTACCTTTCATTGCAAAAACACTTGAACGAGTTGGGTCCAACCAAGTCTCAGCCTTTCTCACACAGAACAACCTCCTGGACAGCAACCAATCTGGCTTCAGAAGTGGACATTCGACCGAGACTGCCTTGCTCTCAGTTGTTGATTATAAAGAATGTATTTGCTAAATTTGTGTAAGCAGTACACATCAAAACATGCATAATCAAACCGCAGTAGCCTACGTACCAGACTCATCGTAATAACGAGTCATAAACGCATCCACAGCTGTAAATCTCGGTTTAGTTAGAAAGGTAAGGGTCCACTGAACAACATCCCATAGAGCACTTTTAGTCCAACGAAGCAATGACGTTGTAATATGGATGGTAATTCCTTTGTTTACATCAGATTTCTTCAGGGACAGTTATTGTTGTATCCGTTATGGAAGCATACAGTGTCACAAACAGAATGAGACCATCCACTAAAAAAAAAGTCAAAGATACGCGGAACATTGTTTATTTGAATTCTGGCGCTCTCTCACGGACCCACTTACACTATTGAGTCACACATGAAACAATCACATTCCATTGAGACAAACTGATGAACCCCTATGCAACCAGCTGCGGTCGTAAAAAACATGCAGGGTCAGTGAAGGGTTGAAGCAGTTCCTGAAGTGTAAACTATCAGATTTTAATTCAGCTTTAATCAGGTTGACTCAGAATTTTCAGATTCGAGTCCTTTTAAAACCTGAATGAATTGATAATAATTAATTCCCTTACAAATGAGTTAATTTCATTACAATGCGGTCTATATGAATAGAGTGTGATTATTGACTATATAGCCGGCCATCTGTATAATTACCATCTGCATGATCGGCCATCAGCATGTGATTACTGACTGTATGAGCAGCTATCAGTGTGAATGCTGTATGTCTAGGATCACAGGATGTACTTGGCATACATAGTTAATTCTTTTTTTTTCTCAAAAATTATTCTTATTGCATTTTTCTAGTGCTCAAATAAATCACTTATACGATGTCTAAGATTCTGTCTATTGTTTTATAATTGAAACACTATGCAGTGGTATGTACATATAATGACTAAAATATTTTGTAGAACCCTTCAATACATTTAGTAAATATTTTTTTTAGGGGGGGACTAGACATAGTCACAGAAAAATGGTTGCAGGAATCTCGTTTTTCATGGTATCTTCTTCAGATTTGAAATAGAAACTCATGAGAC